GATCTAACAGATTTCTTTATTTACCTTGCTACAAACCAGGCATCAGATAATTGCACTTAGATTAGAACACTCTCCTGACTTTTATCTCATACTAGAGAGATTAACTGATTACCAGTTGAAATGCATGTATCCTGATGCACACGCAAACCCAAGGAAACGTCATATGTATATTTATAGATCTTGTCTACACAGTAACAGAAAAAAAGAAGAGACACATATTATAGCTCCTGTAACTGGTTAACCCTTTTGTTTACTACTTTGTTACTTTTCCTTTAAAACACATACAATAAAATGTGAAAAATAAAGAGACACCTTAAATTCTGTGACTCAGTTCCATGAGTCCACATGAATACTTGCCGTGGGCTAGAGTTGGTTGTAAAACAACATTGTTGTGAAGCAAGACTGATAGAAGAAAAGAGATAAATATGCTAATGTTAACGTTATTACTTTTGTTCTCTATTCCTCTGTCTCTTGGTCTTCTATTTTTCGTCAATATTTTAAAAACTTTTAGCACCTAGTTTTTTTTCTATCCTTTTTCCATCATCCTTAACTGTCATCCTTTTTTTACTTCCCTTTTCCTTTTCTCTTTGCTTGTCTTTCGTAACGTTATTTCTCTGGTGGTGTTTAGTACTCGATTAGTGTTTCTGTCTCTTCGGTTTGTCTGGGTTAACAGTTTTTATTTAACAGTTAACAGTTTTCATTTTTCAAAGCAAAATTGTTGATGTGTGTTAAAAGATTAAAAATCTAAAACCCAAGAGAGAGGAAGGAATTTGGAATCTTATTATATATGCTTAGTATGCTTCGTAGCCATAGTACCTACCGCTTATTGTGGTATTTATGATGCCAATAATCCACCTATTCAGTACCCAAAGTCCCCAATTTAACCGGCAACATTATTATGAGGAAATTAAAGTTTTTGTTTTCTGTCCATGTTTAACGCAGCCTCCTTGTTTCAGTCTGGCAGCATCAAAAGTCCCTCCTTGTTTTGGCAGTGCCATAAATGCCTATGTTGATGCAATATTGTAAATTCGCAATATAATAACACACATCACACATTTTGGATGGGGATTTTATGTACAGAGTTTGTGCCCAATAGTGATGTCGCGAATCCGAAATTTTCGGTACGCGAACGGCGAACGCGAACTTCGGCAAATGTTCGCGAACTGGCGAACCGGGCGAACCACCATAGACTTCAATGGGTAGGCGAATTTTAAAACACACAGGGACTCTTTCTGGCCACAATACTGATGGAAAAGTTGTTTCAAGGGGACTAACACCTGGACTGTGGCATGCTGGAGGGGGATCCATGGCAAAACTCCCATGGAAAATTACACAGTTGATGCAGAGTCTGGTTTTAATCCATAAAGGGCAGAAATCACCTAACATTCCTAAGTCACACTGAATATGGATTGACACCTACATAGGGTCACTCGGCAGATATGGATTGACACCTGTCCTCAGAGCCCCTGATACACACTGACACAGAGCAGAATAGGGACTGTTCCTCCTACATAGGGTCACTTGGCAGATATGGATTGACACCTGTTCTCAGAGACCATGATACACACTGACACAGAGCAGAATAGAGACTGTTCTCCTACATAGGGTCACTTGGCAGATATGGATTGATACCTGTTCTCAGAGACCATGATACACACTGACACAGAGCAGAATAGAGACTGTTCCTCCTACATAGGGTCACTTCGCAGATATGGATTGACAGCTGTCCTCAGAGATCATGATACACACTGACACAGAGCAGAATAGAGACTGTTCCCCCTACATAGGGTCACTTGGCAGATATGAATTGAAACCTGTCCTAAGGATCCCTGATACACACTGACACAGAGCAGAATAGGGACTGTTCCCCCTACATAGGGTCACTTGGCAGATATGGATTGACACCTGTCCTCAGAGACCATGATACACACTGACACAGAGCAGAATAGAGAATGTTCTCCTACATAGGGTCACTTGGCAGATATGGATTGACACCTGTCCTCAGAGCCCCTGATACACACTGACACAGAGCAGAATAGAGACTGTTTCTCCTACATAGGGTCACTTGGCAGATATGGATTGACACCTGTCCTCAGAGACCATGATACACACTGACACAGAGCAGAATAGAGACTGTTCCTCCCACATAGGGTCACTTGGCAGATATGGATTGACACCTGTCCTCAGAGACCATGATACACACTGACACAGAGCAGATTAGAGACTGTTCCCCCTACATAGGGTCACTTGGCAGATATGGATTGACACATGTCCTCAGAGCCCCTGATACACACTGACACATAGCAGAATAGAGACTGTTCTCATCGGGTCACTTGGCAGATATGGATTGACACCTGTCTAAGGATCCCTGATACACAGGACACAGAGCAGAATAGGGACTGTTCCTCCTACATAGGGTCACTGCAGATGGATTGACACCTGTCTCGAGACCATGATACACACTGACACAGAGCAGAATAGAACTGTTCCTCCTACATAGGGTCACTTAGCAGATATGGATTGACACCTGTCCTCAGAGACCATGATACACACTGACACAGAGCAGAATAGAGACTGTTTCCCCTACATAGGGTCACTTGGCAGATATGGATTGACACCTGTCCTCAGAGATCATGATACACACTGACACAGAGCAGAAAAGAGACTGTTTCCCCTACACAGGGTCACTTGGCAGATATGGATTGATACCTGTTCTCAGAGACCATGATACACACTGACACAGAGCAGAATAGAGACTGTTCTCCTACATAGGGTCACTTGGCAGATATGGATTGACACCTGTCCTAAGGATCCCTGATACACACTGACACAGAGCAGAATAGGGACTGTTCCTCCTACAGAGGGTCACTTGGCAGATATGGATTGACACCAGTCCTCAGAGACCATGATACACACTGACACAGAGCAGAATGGAGACTGTTCCCCCTACATAGGGTCACTTAGCAGATATGGATTGACACCTGTCCTCAAAGCCCCTGATACACACTGACACAGAGCAGAATAGAGACTGTTCCCCCTACATAGGGTCACTTGGCAGTTATGGATTGAAACCTGTCCTCAGAGATCATGATACACACTGACACAGAGCAGAATAGAGACTGTTCTCCTACATAGGGTCAGTTGGCAGATATGGATTGACACCTGTTCTCAGAGATCATGATACACACTGACACAGAGCAGAATAGAGACTGTTTCCCCTACATAGGGTCACTTGGCAGATATGGATTGACACCTTTCCTCAGAGATCATGATAAACACTGACACAGAGCAGAATAGAGACTGTTCCCCCTACATAGGGTCACTTGGCAGATATGAATTGACACCTGTCCTAAGGATCCCTGATACGCACTGACACAGAGCAGAATAGGGACTGTTCCCCCTACATAGGGTCACTTGGCAGATATGGATTGACACCTGTCCTCAGAGACCATGATACACACTGACACAGAACAGAATAGAGACTGTTCCTTCTACATAGGGTCACTTGGCAGATATGGATTGACACCTGTCCTCAGAGCCCCTGATACACACTGACACAGAGCAGAATAGAGACTGTTTCCCCTACATAGGGTCATTTGGCAGATATGGATTGATACCTGTCCTCAGGGACCATGATA